CTTTTGATGTGTGTCTTATTGATTATGATGGAGAGGTTTTTAATACAGAAGAGATTAATTGTGCTGTCTTGGCTTTAGATGACAATAAAGCATGTGGAGCTGATAAGATAACTGCTGAACATCTAAAATATGCTCTCAAAAAACTTGGCCTCTTACTTGCTATCTGAAAAAAAGAAAGAAAATCCTCCTCAACAGGCTAGAAAAATACATCACTACCACTGACAACCAGTTTGGTTTTAAACGTAAACATGGCACTGACATGTATTTTTGCTTTAAAGGACATTTTAGATAAATATAAGAACTCCACAATGTTTATTTGCTTTATAGATGCCTCTAAGGCTTTTGATCGCATTAATCACAATAAATTATTCAATAAATTGCATTGTAGATGGGTCCCTAAATGGGTAATCAGAATTCTTGTTTATTGGTATGCTCATCAGTCTATGGAGGTTAGATGGGGGTGCTCTGTATCAGAATCATTTCATGTAATGGAGTTCGACAGGGCAGCATTCTGTCTCCTTTTCTTTTTAATGTATACACGGATGACTTGTCCCAACAGTTAAATGCATGTAACACAGGGTGTTGGTCAGCAATATTGTAATAAATCATCTTATGTATGCAGATGATTTGGCAGTCTTCTGCCCATATTTTGCTGTTGAAAATTTGCTCTGACTATGGTGCAGCCCTCCCCCTCTCTGCTCCAACACTGACTGACAGCTGACTCCGCTCATAGCACTGGCGATCTGAACCGGTCAGTGGTGAAAAAAAGCACTTTTAATGCGCAAACTTATACGGGATGCATTTGCCCCAGTTACCGTTTTAGCTCGTTTCGCGGCTCCGGTTGCATCCGCCTCCCTCAATACTGAACCAATTTTAGAACGAGTTGTACCCATGAATCATACGCACACATACACATGGGGAAATAGGGCCCAGGTTGAAAAATACCAAAGTTGTCCTTTAAAGGGCCCTTGCACCCCTGTGCCTGTTGGGGTGTGCCGCAATTGCAACCATGTTGCCAAACGCAGACTGGTAGACTATGCGCTGGTGCCTTGGTCACAGGAGGAAGGAATTTGATGACATTTCTGTCTCCACTAGGTGGTGCTATGAAGTTCTATGCACATTGCAGCATGTAATCCAAAGTTTTAGCAATTTCGTATTTCATGGCGAGACATTAGAACTCGATGCCACACCACAGCTACACTGTTCAATGCTGACCAAATCTTTTGATAACTTTTGATCACAAAGTTGTCTAGGTGGTACACACCAGTTTTGAAGTTAATCGGATTATGTCTGCAGGAGGAGTTTGTTAAAATGCAAACCATGGAAGACGCCAAAAAAGGAAATTCAAAATGGCCAACTTCCTGTTGGGTTAAGCCTATGGGTCCAAGAGGCTTTTTTGTGCATCAGGGCGTGATACATATGTGTACCAATTTTCATACATGTCGGTAAAACATGCCGCAGGGGCTGCCCTTTAAAGTGCTTGCCAAGCCATTGGGCCACACCAGACTATTAAGGAGCGTGTGAAGTTTCAGGCAGATTGAACCAAGTACACTTAAGTTAATGCAAGTTGCTGTGTTATGGCAGACTGTTGACCTTTGCCATGCTGTCATGGCAACACCATTTGGTGAAATTTCACAGTCTCCACAATATAACATATCCAACATCTTAAGGCCTTTCTGACAGGAGGAGCATATCAAGCTCTAAAAAATGGAATTTCCTGTCACCACTAGGTGGCCCTATGACAATTACAGAATATTGTCACATAGATGTGTTCAGGGTGGGTCTGTTATGAATCATGTAAAGTTTGGTGGTGATCGGACCATTTACCCCAAAGTTATAGCAATATCAGGTTTCATGGCGAGACATCAAAATTTGATGCTCCGCAGTGGGCGTGCCCTTTAATGTGAGGTAGATCTTTTAACAACTTTTGATACCAAAGTAGCCAAGCTTGCACAAACCAATTTTGAAGTCAATCCGATGAATTCTGTAGGAGGAGTTCGTTAAAATACAACATGTGGGAAAAATGGCATCCCGTTGGGTTAAGGCAGTGGGTCCAAGAGACTTTTTTTGTGCATCTGGGCATAATAGACGTGTACTGATTTTCATGTATTTTGAAACATGCAGTCCCTGCTCATGTTGAGAGGGTGTGGCCAAGCCATTTTGTCCCATAAGTGTAAGTGACCTGTGGAAAACTTCCCCACATCTTATCAGTGCCCAGATCTTCCTCCTTGTCTCCCAGCAAAAATATGCTGTCTGTAGTGCTGGTGCCCAAACTATGATTGCACTTTCACATTTTCCAGCCACCATGGACACAAAGAGGCGGATTGGGAGAGAGAGCCGCCCCTCTCTCTCAAACTCAAACCAGTCTTTACTCTCATGTGCTCCATGGTAAATAAATATAGTAATAATTAAAGCCTTGTGTTAACAAATGAATGTCCACAAAAACACTGGACAGCTTTTCATTTGAAATTGGATAAAAAAGTTGTTGATAATATTTATATATTTTTAATGTTAATCACATACTCTATATAAACATCGAAACTACAGTGAAAGCTGAAATGTTGCTGTGAAGACAATAGAGTAGAAGCACTGCTGGGTCTGTATGGTGATCACATACGGGTGCTCTTTGGATACTTAGGTCATACTGTGCTTATATCGTGAAGGGCTTATTGCATGGCTGAAATATGGTCTCAGTAAAAATATATACCATGCATATGCAGTATTTTATTTACCATATGTCATAGATTTTTGTTAGATATTAGATGTTAGATAAGGGATTCCATTCAGTGATTGGTCATTTATATGGACTTGGAAGTGACGTCACCTAAAATTCCGTTTATGGCACATAGTACTGTCGTGATTCAGCTCTGAGACTGACATTTAAGATTCAGTCCTACACTTCACTAAAAGTATGAGTAGGACGCTTGATAACTAACTTTTAAGTGCAGCTTTCAGCGAAGAATTTTTTTAGTCATATGTCAACTCTTAGCAGTGCTCTTAGGAGTAATTCTAAGAAGCTTGATAAATACGGGCCCAGGTCAGCAGGGAGAGTCCAGCAGGATCAACCAGGTTATGTTGCATCTTATGGTTACTGATATGAAGTTTTATATTGTTACAACTGTGATCTCCATAACATTTTGTCTACAGACAATTTATTTTTGTTATGACTGTAATTATTCCAGGTTGGTTGTTTCTCTTCATTATAGGCCTGTTTCCACCAAACACTTTCAGTATGGCACCTTTGGAAACAAAAGTAACCCTTTAGACATAGTACCTAGACCCTAGGTCTGTTTAACGTTTACACCGCAAACAGTACTCTTAAATGTGGGCGAAGTTATCACTCACTGCTACTTCCAGCACTTGCTGTATTTCCTCATCACTGGTGACACAGATGGAAGTCTGCACCTAGTTTATCATCCACAGAATGAGGCTGCACGCCGACATTTTCAGAACAAAATAGAACAGGCTGCAGTGAGAGTCTCTCTCCGTCGGATAATTAAAATTAACAGGTTTGTGCATTTGGTCCTTCTCAGGCAAGCTTGGGGTTTTAGTGTTGCCACAGCCCACAGGAACGATGCTTTTTTTTCCCTTCATGTGACAATTAGAATATATGAAGTTAACATAACCCGGTCGAAATTAATATATATAAACCATAGGCGTTTCTAGCCCATTTTTTGGGGTGCTGAAGCACCCCTAAACTGAATCCCAGCATCCCTAAAATTTGAGAGATTTTTTTTACATTTTTTTTTTTACTGTATGTCCTTTTTTAACAAGCTAGAAAAGTGTCAAAACCATACAGTACTTGGTTGAAACGTAATATTTTAACAACAAAAATACAGCAGCCCCCCCGCCTCATCCACAGAATGGTTTGATCCACCCCATCCCTCCCACCTTTCCCCGACTCGGGCTTTGAGCGCTCTATCTGATGCGCTGATGCGCTGCCCTCCAGAGTGGGTGATATGCAGTAGTGGTGTAAGTACCTGGCTTAAACCAGGATATGTGGCACATTTCTTAACTTCTACCACTCAATACCAACACATTATTATCATTACCAGTCCTCATTTTTGCTGCATTTAATCGTAGGTCACTGTTTATGTTGTTAGGTAGGAGTTAGCTGATGTTTTTTCTAGCTAGGAAACGTTACAGGTGGTCAGTGCCACTGTCCTCTGTTTGAATTGGAATGAGAGAAGCTAGCTGTTGTGTCATGTGCATGTGTTAATATTAAAGCCAAGGTGCTACTGACTAGCTAACTGACTGGATGCCCATTAACATTATAACTCCTGTTATGCGTGTGTGTGCGTGTGTGTGTACAGACAGCCAGCCAGCCTCATCATGGATATAAGATTGTTTTTTCGAAAAAAAGAGCCAGGTTCAGGTAAGAGTGTCAGATCAATTGGTCTGTCTATCTACAATGATGTTGTAAGCTGGATCAATGTATCAGTTTATCTCTTATTAGATATAAAACGCATTGTTTGGTTATTTGCCTTTTGGTTGACAGTACAAAGAGAGAGAGAGGAGCAGAGAGAGGACTTTATTTATTAGTATTCTTATTAGTATTTTTTCATATTTATGTAATTTTTCATCTAGTTGAATACAATCTATTTGTGTATGATTGTCAGTCCAAAGAGGGAGAGATGAAAAAGGGGAAGGAGAGAAGAGAGTACAAGATCAGGAAGAACCAGGTAAGAAAACAAACAAAGAATAGTGAAGGAGCTGCTGTATCAAAATGAGTTGTCTTCCCCCAGAAATTAGGGTTACGATCTGTTTCTTTTATGATTCCAATCCATTCCTCTTTTGCTGTGGCTCAGCATTTAAATAACCTTTATCAGATTTGATGGTTTTGTCACAGACTTTCCCAAAAAGTGTTGTGCTTTTCTTTCACAAATGTGGGAATGAAATTGCGTTAAAATGTACAAAACAGTGACCTTTATTTTGCCTGGCCGGGCAGCTCTCTGGGTGCTCAGCACCCCTAAACCTCTGATCCTAGAATCGCCCCCGATATAAACGCTTGAAGATCAACTCATTACTAAAAGTGTATTTCATCCAAGAGAGACAATAAAAACTAATGGAACGACCAAAGCTGTCACACTGAAATTTAGGTGTGCTGATGGATTCACGCTGTCAACTCATGCATCGAGTAACATTACAAGTAAATTCCACCTTAAAAGTTGGTGGCAGTCGGACCAGTGAATTAAGAGATTTTTTCTCTACAGTCTACAGCTGCTGCAAGAGGCAGCAAAACATCCTTTTATTTCATAGTTACAGTTTACCAATATATGTAAAACTCTCTATGGTATAAACAGTGGTTACATAAGCTTCAAATCCAGCCACAACTCAGCCCTGAGCCGAGTGACCATCCTCTATTGACCAATCAACAGACTACAACGTTTCTAGCTCCACCTTTTAAGTACCAGGTCAGTGTGCTAGGTATTCCAACAGAGGGTACCTAGCACCAAAAATGGGGATGGTACAAAACGGTTCTATTGGTACCATCCACAACTTTCCACACTGGAAATGGGAAAAATGCGTACCGAAGTGAACTGAACTGAACTGAACTGAACTGTAATGCTTGGTGGAAATGGGGCTTATGTGTTAGACCCACCCCTCACTCATCCACAGCTCCACTCTCTCCTCCAAAACGATCTCTTCTGGCTCCATAAATCCAAAATGGCAAACTCTAGGCTTCAAAACAGGAGTCTACAAACCAATGGGTGATGTCCTGGTGGCTACATCCATTATTTTGTACATTCTATGGTTTCACCACACTCACAACACATTTCATTTGATATCAGTTACAGGGACTTTTTCACAAAATTCATACAGACTGAGTTCCGCTGGGCTCTGTCCAATCATCATCACAGTCTCCAGTTCAGAAGTGTCTCCAGGCTTGTTATCAGAAGCCAGTTAAGCAGTTAAATGGTTTTTCAACAGTACTACATTTTCAAATCACTGACAGAGACATTATCAGTTTTCAAAGAATGTAAACCTGACAGAGGGTCTCTGGTCTCCCAATCGTCAGCACTGACTTCAGTCTCAGAAGAGTCCAGAGAGTCATCTTCACTAACTGGTTGTAAATGTGTATCTGGATCTGAGTTCCTGGATGGTTCTGCTCCTCCACAGTCCTCTAAATCAGCTTCTGTTTCCATCTGGCCAGTAGAGCTACTGGCTGAAGGGTCTGCCTCTCTGTTGTCCTCAGTTTGACTCTGATGAAGGTGTGAGGACTGGTGGCCAACACATTTATGTGTTTTGACCTGTGGACGCCAGGCAAATCTTTTGTGACAAACACTGCAGCTGAATCGTTTCTCTCCTGTGTGGATGCACATGTGTTGTGTCAAATGTCCCTTTCGTGAAAATCTTTTATCACAAACTGAGCAGCTAAATGGTCTCTCTCCTGTGTGGACTGCCATGTGAAACTGTAAACTTCCTCTATGTGTAAAAGACTTATTACACACTGAGCAGCTGAATGGTTTCTCTCCCGTGTGGATGCTCATGTGTTGCCTCAGACTTGAGACTTGAGTGAAAGTATTACCACAAACTGAGCAACTAAACGGTTTCTCTCCTGTGTGATTCCTCATGTGTCTGTTCAAATGTCCACTTCCTATGAAACACTTACCACACACTGAGCAGCTGAAAGGTTTCTCTCCTGTGTGGATGCTCATGTGTTGTTTCAGACTTGATGCTTGTGTGAAAGCTTTCCCACAAACTGAGCAGCAGAAAGGTTTCTCTCCCGTGTGGATTTTCATGTGTGTCTGTAAACTCCCACTCTGTATGAAAGATCTCTTACAGACCAAGCAACTAAAAGGTTTCTCTCCTGTGTGGATTTTCTCATGAGTGTGTAAACTTCCACTGTGAGCAAAGGATTTCTTACAAAATGTGCAGCTAAAAGGTTTCTCTCCTGTATGAGATCTCATGTGTACCTTCAGATGTTCACTGGTACCGTATCTTTTGTCACACTCAGAGCAGCTAAATGGTTTCTCACCAACATTACATCTCAAACCACTGACAGTGACCTCATCACTTTTCAGATAGTTTAAGCTTAACTGAGGTTCTCTGGTCTCCTTCCAGTCACCACTGTCATCGGTCTCGGGTTCAGAAGAGACTCCAGTCTTGTCTTCAGGATCTGGTTGTAAATGTGTATCTGGATCTGAGTTTCTGGCTGGTTCTGGTCCTCCACAGTCCTCTCCATCAGCTCCTGTTTCCATCTGTTCAGTTTGTCTTTGATGAAGCTGTGAGAACTGAGCTTTCTCTTCATCATCTTCTTCACTCTTCACAGGGACAGAAGTAAATGTGAACTTGATATCAGCCTCCTCCAGCCCTTGAAGCTGCTCTCCGTCCTGACTGCTCCAGAGTTCCTCCTGTTCCTCTTTAATGTGTGGGGGCTCTGGGTCCTCCTGGTCCAGACTGGAACGGGACTTCTGCTGCTCTTCTTCACCAACAATTACTTTCTGGACATCTAAAGGTAAAGCTGAAACAAACAAATAGCCATTAATGTGAACCTTGAAGAGGACTTATTATGCTTTTGGGTTTTTTCCCTCTTCCTTAGTGTATTATGTAGCATTTTTTATGCATCTATAAGGTCTGCAAAGTAAGAAAAGAGTCCTCGCTAAAGGGAACTCTCTCTCCCCACAGACACGCAGCTCTTCATCTGCCTGAAAGGCCTCATTTGCATTCCTGCCTTTACTTCAAAACACCTTGATAATGCACACAGTGCCCGCCTGCAGGCCATTGAGCCATGCCCCCAAACAAACCTAAGTTGAGTTGAAGGTGTGAGAAAGAATAGTATCAGTAACATTGTTAACACTCTGCTACATTACAGAGAAATACAAAACCGTACTAATGAACCTTCATTAATATAGGCCTATATTTTATCTACAAGTGCACATCACACACTGAGCGAGCCGCCTGTTAATGACGCTGTCTGCAAAGCAGTAATGATTGTGGCTAACGGGCATGTAGCTACTTCCATGTTTCAGATGATACGTCATGTTTGTAGTCTGAAGATGAGTTTACATATCACCTTGGGTTCGTCCTTCACCTTCTCAAAATGATCCCACACTTTGGATTTCCTGCCCGACATGTTATTAATCAGCCTGTGGAATAACCACAGGTACCAGCCCTGGAAATTAGGGTCTGTACACATAATGTCTTTAACCGCCTGGAAAACATGAGGCTGAGCACTGGGTGCTACTCTTGTGCCTTTTCTGTGCCAGCTTACAAGAGCACGGCAGCAGGTTGTGTCTGAGTTTGCTAAGCAACCATAACAAGCATCTTATAGCCTATTTACCTGGAATCCTGAGTGCAGAGCTGATCTTCTTCCAGGCGCCGCTTATAAGTGTGTAGGCCTATCGACTGTGGGACAGATGTAAAGCTGTGCATAGCCCTGCACTAAAATGATCAACTTGCAGACTAATAACCTTTCTGGTCCACTAGCATTTGGTCGATTATTAGGGGGCAGCCCCATCCTTAACTTAGAGAAACACCAAATGTCTTCTTTGTAGTAGTAGTAACAGTAACAGTAGTATTACAGTCATAGTATTCTTATGTTCTGCCCCTCACACTTGTCAACAATTTGGATAAAACATTAAAAACACCTCCTAAATCAAAATACCAGCAGCAGTTGCATTACAGTGGACTTTAAAGTGATCACTAGTTGTGTTTATTGCTTTGCAGTCTGCAACGCAGTAACACTGTGGTTATTTTATCAATTTATGGCTTGTGGTTCTTCGAGAGGTTGATCACTTTGCAATGGGGACATGGTGAACTCGAGCATGTGTACAAAAAAAGCTAAATAAAAGGTGCATTGTTCTGTAATAATGTAGTAAAGAAGACCTATATTTAAAGTAAGCCATTCGTTATAAATATTAGATATATGAGCAAGTAAGACATGACAACAAGACCTGTTCATTAAACCAAAATAGTTCATTACAGCCGCTCTCCTGCTGTACTGGTCTGGGGTCAGTTTAAACAGAGAAGAAGTGACAATATCTTACCTGCTCTGTGTAACTGAAGCTGAGGGCTGAAAACAGCGTCCAGTAGTTTCCGTTGTCGCTCGTTCTCCTCTTTTGATCGACAAAGCCCCTCCTCGTACTGTGCTATCGTTCTTTCAAACAGCCCAAATATTTCTTCAGCAGCCACAGTTAGTCGCTGCCTCACCAACGCTCTCAGCATTTGGGCTTTAGACATTTCAACACAAAGACAGAAACTTTTGTCTCCACGTCAAAAAAACACCGTTTGCCCTCCGTCATTCACTCTAACAGGATGCTGTGTTGCTAACTTCCGTCACCGTCAGTCTTAATTCTAGCTAGCATGCTAAGCTATCTTTAGTAGCTTTGTAGGCTAACTTACCGGGTAATGAGTCAGAGGAAAAACATTCAGGCCAGAGTCCGTTCAGACATACAGAGGCCCTGTTGATCACTACTGCTGAAGCTGACAAACACTTTCTCACTAACAACAAATGGACTCTCTTACGAGCTGAACAAGTCAGACACCATTTTGCTATAATAGTCAGCAAATGAAACACTTCCGGGTCCTCTCGCTTTTCAAAATAAAGATTTTCTTGACATGATTTAACATGTTGACAACAAATATTGCATTCTCACAGAATTTAATTGTCTTTTCAAGGCCGTACCCAAAGCATTTCTCGTCTTAGCCAAAACACATTATTGCATGCTCAGTCCTCATCTACCCGCGCTTTTTATGAAGGGGTTTCATTTTCTTGAAAAAAGATGTTCAAACAAATTAATTCGACCCATCTTAACAAACGATTATACCAATCTTCCAGAAATAATATTTTGAATCTATTAACCAATCAACAGTATCCAAGAACAAAGTTCTTCAAATACCCAGCTCCATCCAAAACAAAAGAAATCCACTCCAAAATAATGAATGATTTTTACCCTTCTTGAATTTTTAAGACTAAGATTAAGTTTAAAGAACAATGTATGTGTTTTCTACAATGGTGATATTGAAGCCTTATTATATCTTTTAATTTTTGTTTACATTATGTTCAATAATGTTTAATTTATGGTTAATTTAAAGTTTATTATGCTTAATTTATTCTATTTTGTGACTTTTTTTGTTTTGTTTGTTGTCTTTGTGTTTTGTATCTCTGGTGTTGTGTTCACTACAGATGATAAGTATTCGATATTTGCCCTGTTATGTCATACATTACCTGTATGAATGGTTAAATAAAAAAGTAAAAAAAATAAAAATAAAAAAAATGTTGACAACAGATTAGGGGTGAGTAATATGACAGGCTTGTCCAAGATGAAATGCCCCTCACATGGAAAATAGATAAGATCAGGCAGCTGATCTTAGGAGGTGGTGACAAAAAGCTGCAGTGAAGTTGGACAGTTTTCTGACCATTTCCAGCAGCCTTCAGTCCATACAGGAAGTCACAGAAACACTCACATCCTGTTAGATCTGAGCTCAATTTATTAAAATGTTATCAGACCCATATATCAGCTTGTTCACAGCCTCCAGTTGTTTTAATAATGACCGAGTGACCTATTATATATAATGCTTTACAGGTTCATGGTGCAACCTCCATTTTACATGTCATGTATAACAGCATCATATCAGTTTGCTGCTGTATGTAAATCTGCTGAGCAGACATGTTACCATCCAATTACATAAATAAATGAAAAATATTAACCTTCTAATCAAACACAGAGGAATGTTATGTACAACAGACTACTATGTATAGTTTAAGATGAATGTATTTAGGCTGAATACGAAACGGCACCATCAGTCATACAGCATGTTCTCTGTTAATAGAATAAACCTTCAAATCAGACAAATCAAATCTAAATCTGACATTTAACAAAAGTGAAAAGTTTATCTAAAATGTCATAGTGTTGAGTCAACATCTAAACCAATCAACTATTAGATCAAGTGACAGCCAGGCATTTCCCATCATGCTCTGGGTCTTGCAGTTCATGGAAAGCAGCTGCAGTGCCTGGCTCTACAACTTAGGCCGCCTCAATCAGAATCAGAATCAGAAATACTTTATTGATCCCAGAGGGGAAATTATTTATGTTACAGGTGCTCCTTGCAAGAAAGGAAAGATACGTGAAAATATAAGAAATTTAAACAGTAGTATTTACAGATATATATAGTTAAATAAACAGGAATTATTAACAAACATAAACGTAAATAAATAAATAAATATATATATATATATATATATATATATATATATATATATAGCACTGGCCACCACAGACTCAGAGAAAATCCTGAGCATAGTCCGGCAGATGTTGAAGGACCTCAGTCGCCTCAGAAAATAGAGATGGCTCTGGCCCTTCTGTAGAGAGCGTTACTGTTCTTAGCCCAGTCCAGTTTATTGTCAGTGTGTACCCCCAGGTACTTATAGTCCTCTACAATGTCCACACTGACCTCATGGATGGAAACAGGGGTCACCGGTGTCTTGGTCCTCCTCAGATCCACAGCCAGTTCCTTTGTCTTTGCCACGTTGAGCTGCAGATGGTTCTGCTCACACCATGTGACAACATTATCCACAACAGCCCTGTACTCATCCTCATCACCCTTGGTGATACATCCAACTATAGCAGAGACAACAGAAAACTTCTGAAGATGGCAGGTCTCAGTGCAATAGCTGAAGTCCGTGGTGTAGAGGGTGAAGAGGAAGGGAGAGAGGACAGTCCCTTGCGGGGCCCCGGTATTGCTGACCACCTGCATTGCTGTCAGCTTGTCACCCAGTAGAGCTGGACGTACAGTACAGGCCAAAAGTTTGGACACACCTTCTCATTCAATGCGTTTTCTTTATTTTCATGACTATTTACATTGTAGATTCTCACTGAAGGCATCAAAACTATGAATGAACACGTGGAGTTATGTATACTTACAAAAAAAGGTAAAAATAACTGAAAACATGTTTTATATTCTAGTTTCTTCAAAATAGCCACCCTTTGCTCTCATTACTGCTTTGCACACTCTTGGCATTCTCTCCATGAGCTTCAAGAGGTAGTCACCTGAAATGGTTTTCCAACAGTCTTGAAGGAGTTCCCAGAGGTGTTTAGCACTTGTTGGCTCCTTTGCCTTCACTCTGCAGTCCAGCTCACCCCAAACCATCTCGATTGGGTTCAGGTCCGGTGACTGTGGAGGCCAGGTCATCTGCAGCAGCACTCCATCACTCTCCTTCTTGGTCAAACAGCCCTTACACAGCCTGGAGGTGTGTTTGGGGTCATTGTCCTGTTGAAAAATAAATGATCGTCCAAATAAACGCAAACCGGATGGGATGGCATGTCGCTGCAGGATGCTGTGGTAGCCATGCTGGTTCAGTGTGCCTTCAATTTTGAATAAATCCCCAACAGTGTCACCAGCAAAACACCCCCACACCATCACACCTCCTCCTCCATGCTTCACAGTGGGAACCAGGCATGTGGAATCCATTCGTTCACCTTTTCTGCGTCTCACAAAGACACGGCGGTTGGAACCAAAGATCTCAAATTTGGACTCATCAGACCAAAGCACAGATTTCCACTGGTCTAATGTCCATTCCTTGTGTTTCTTGGCCCAAACAAATCTCTTCTGCTTGTTGCCTCTCCTTAGCAGTGGTTTCCTAGCAGCTATTTGACCATGAAGGCCTGATTGGCGCAGTCTCCTCTTAACAGTTGTTCTAGAGATGGGTCTGCTGCTAGAACTCTGTGTGGCATTCATCTGGTCTCTGATCTGAGCTGCTGTTAACTTGCGATTTCTGAGGCTGGTGACTCGGATGAACTTATCCTCAGAAGCAGAGGTGACTCTTGGTCTTCCTTTCCTGGGTCGGTCCTCATGTGTGCCAGTTTCGTTGTAGCGCTTGATGGTTTTTGCGACTCCACTTGGGGACACATTTAAAGTTTTTGCAATTTTCCGGACTGACTGACCTTCATTTCTTAAAGTAATGATGGCCACTAGTTTTTCTTTAGTTAGCTGATTGGTTCTTGCCATAATATGAATTTTAACAGTTGTCCAATAGGGCTGTCGGCTGTGTATTAACCTGACTTCTGCACAACACAACTGATGGTCCCAACCCCATTGATAAAGCAAGAAATTCCACTAATTAACCCTGATAAGGCACACCTGTGAAGTGGAAACCATTTCAGGTGACTACCTCTTGAAGCTCATGGAGAGAATGCCAAGAGTGTGCAAAGCAGTAATGAGAGCAAAGGGTGGCTATTTTGAAGAAACTAGAATATAAAACATGTTTTCAGTTATTTCACCTTTTTTTGTTAAGTACATAACTCCACATGTGTTCATTCATAGTTTTGATGCCTTCAGTGAGAATCTACAATGTAAATAGTCATGAAAATAAAGAAAACGCATTGAATGAGAAGGTGTGTCCAAACTTTTGGCCTGTACTGTATGTTGTTGAACGCTCTAGAGAAGTCAAATAACATGACCCTCACAGTGCTCGCTGGCTTATCCAAATGGGCGTAGACACGGTTCAGCAGGTAGATGATGGCGTCCTCAATTCCAAGTCAGGGCTGATAGGTGAACTGGAGGGGGTCCAAAAGTGGCTTGACCATGGGCTGGAGCTGCTCCAAAACGAGTCTCTCCAGGGTCTTCATGATGTGGGAGGTCAATGCCACGGGTCTGTAGTCCTTGGAGTCACTGGGACGTGATGTCTTTGGCACAGGAACGAGGCAGGATGTCTTCCACAGGATGGGGACCCTCCTGGAGACTCAGGCTCATGTTGAAGACATGCTGAAGTACTCCACATAGATGGGGGACACAGGCTTTGAGCACCCTGGGGCTGACACCATCAGGGCCTGCAGCCTTATTTGAGTGGAGTCTCATCAGCTGTCTTCTCACATGGTCAGCAGTGAAGCACATTGTGGAGGTGACGACACGTGGGGAAGGGGTGTAGTCCTCATGATGGAGAGTGCAGTCAGTCTGGCCACGGGGGGAGGAGGTGTGAGGAGGAGGAGGGGGGGTCAAGAAGGAGGGTGTTGTGGTGTGAGAGGGAGGAGTGGGGGAGGAGGGCAGAGTGGGAGATGGTTGACCAAGACAGACAGCAGAAGAGTCGGGGGGGGGGGGTATGTGCAGGTCCAGCAGTGTCAAATCTGCTAAAAAACAGATTGAGTTCATTGGCCCTGTCCATGCTGCCTTCAATTCCTCTGTTGTTGTTGGTCCTGAAGCCAGTGATGGTCCTCATTCCACTCCAGACCTCTCTCATGTTGTTATGCTGGAGTTTCCTCTCCAGCTTCCTCCTGTACCTCTCCTTAGCCTCCCTAATCTTCATCTTCAGCTCACCCTGTATTGTTCTCACATCCTCCCTGTTACCAGCTCTGAAGGCCCTCTTCTTTGAATTGAGGATGACTTTGATGACCTTTGTTACCCACGGTTTGTTATTTGGATAACAATGGACAGTCCTGGCTAGGACAGTGGAGTCCACACAGAAACTGATGTAGTCCATGATGCACTCTGTGAGCCCGTCGATGTCCTCCCCATGTGGCTCACAGAGTGCCTGCCAGTCTGTCACACCAAAACAGCCC